TCTTTAAATCTTTCATAGATTCAGATGTGATTTTTTTAAAAACAAGAAAGAAATTCATAATCCTTCAGCAATTAATCTGAGTCTCTGACTACTGAAAAATTGGGCACTGATGGTCTCTCATGGAAGAAGAAAGCACTTTAATTCTTCAAAACTTGCTTATTGGTTCCTCTGTGTTGGCAGGAATGCAAATATATTATAAAATACTTTCCTGGTAATATTCTTCTGGAATAAATGAAGAAACGCCTCCTAATTAGTCACTGTGAATTAATTTGAAAGCCATTCTCGTGGCTGGAGATTTGATTTTAATTGGACAAGAATGACGTGTTCATATTCAGAGGAACTTACTGTCTTTTTAATCACATAAAACTTCCTTGGTAAAGAGCGAGGATCCAGGACACAGGGAGTTAATAGAGACAAGAACAGTCATTCTCACAGCTGTTTTCAGTGAATGAAAGGAATTAACTAAATGTTCAATAATAGGTTAATACAACAGGTCACCATCTTTTCCCCCCCTCAACAAGAGAAACACAGAGCAGCTCTAAAAAGTCCAAGTTAGACTATTTTAATTAACATGAACAGCACTTCACGACATGATTAGTCCCTCTGAAAGCAATGGAAATACCAGAGGATTAATGGAAAGGAATGAAACTGTCAAAATTCAAACCCTTAGACCCTTTGAGGAGGAGCACCCTGGATTTAGGAAGCCTGGGTTTGCTGGTTTGGGCAGACCACGGACACCAGATGATGGAGATGGAAAGAAATCTCTCTAGCTGGCATAAAAATAAGAGAATGCAGCTACAGATTCATCTGCTGCTTTTTGGACCATGATAAGGAACGGACAGAAAGCATTTTCCAGACGTGTAAACTAAAATAATAGAGAGATTTAGGAGTCTGAGAGTGGATTTAGTCAGAACAAGCCTGTAACTCCTTCAGCTTCCACCAGTCACTCTGCAGAGGGAAGGAGAGAGATGTCTCTTCATGGTCTGCAAACCCTGAGCTAAATGGTATTTAGACAAGCAGGCAATTCAAGTTTACCTGTTGACAAGCACAATTTTAAAGTGATCCAGATGTGGAATAGTTGTTGGTGTCTTCGTGAGAAGCACTTGAAGGAATAAGCTTTCAACAGATGGAGCAGGGAAAAAAAGTAAAGAAAAAAAAATAAAAAACCCAATATGGGAGTTGACAGATATTTGGATTTTAGTACAGCATTTGACACTGTCTCATGAAATCTTAATTGAAAAATTAATTCAAGTCTGCTTGGCTAGAGACAATGGTGTGTGGATTGAATAATGGCTAAAAGACAAATGAAAAAAATGACGACAAACAGCTGTGAAACAAGATGGTTGGAAATGTCCAGTGGGGTAACACACACTGATTGTTAGTCTGGGTTCACTTCATATCTTCATTAATGATTTAGAAAAAGGACATAATTAAGATCTTAATTAAACACACAGATTATGCTCATTCTAGGAGATTTGAAATATCAATAAGGAGAGTGAAATAAAAAGGGACTGATAGGAAATGTGGGTGAACATTGGCCAAAAGAGATTCAGCAAGGGAGGAAAATTATTCTACTGCAAACACAAAGCCAACAGAAAACATAGAACCAAGTAGAAGATGAGCCAGAAATTTAGGAAATGGAAGAGTAGTAACAGATAAGAGAGTTGGAGGATGCCACAGGAAGTACAAAAAGTAAAATACAAGTTTAAGATCCAGCGCCCTTTGCATCCACTGGAAGCTCAGCCGTGGACTTCAAAGGATTTTGGCCATGGATGGCAGACACAGAGCAGGGATTATCTGCAACCTTGCTCTGGCCACTGCAGGCAACTGTGAGAAATGCTCTCCCAGAAAGATGTTAAATTGGAAGGGAATCAGAGAAGAGACAGAATAAAAAATTAAGGGGTTTTGTGAGAACTGAAGTGGGAAGAAAAATGAAGAGGACCGAGCAGTTATAATTTGGCCAAATAGGGAATAAGCAGGAACACAATAACAGCTTTCAAGTGTCTGAGGACATAAGCTTGTAGAAAGGATAATAATTATTCACTCTGTTATATGACAGCAGAATTTTAACAGGTGAAGGGAATATATTATAAGGGATGAAAGACATTTGATGTAAATATCAGGAAATGCAGCATATTAAACTGCTGAATAATAGAAGAGATGGAAGTCCTGTGGTCTGGGATTTCTAAAAATCAGATTGAATGCCAGCTATTGAAATGCAGAGAGTAATCTTTCCTATCCCCCAGGATGCCATGAAATACATCTGCCTTAAAAAGATTCCTATCTCCTCCCAGCCCCTTCCTGTGCAAGTTCCATGTGTTTTAAAGCCTGCACCAGGAGCTGCAGAAATAGCAGAGGATAAATTGTTCTTAATAATGAATAAACACTCTTCCTATCTTTTGATTGTGTAATCTTCTCTCTGCTTCCACCCCTCCCTGATTAAGATTACAGTCTTTTCTCAAATGTAGTATTCAAGTCATTATCTTCAAACTGTTTTGCTCCACTCAGAGGCAAAAAAAACCCCAAAAAACCAAAAACTTTACTGGGATGGGAAATGAGGATATTTGTAGCAGTAACCCAAAGATTTGTTGGCAGAGAACATTTTTTACCATGGTTTATCTGAGACTATTTTTTTTTTCCTACTAGAAATGCTGCCTACAGGTGGTTTAAGACTCTTTTTCAGGAGTTTTCCTCTCTGGTCACATTATTTTCTTAAGTCTTTAGATTTTAAAGTTATTGACAACATTAAAGACCATTAGTAAATTGGTTTATTTGCATGTACCCACTCATTTACACTGCAAAGAGCTCAACTAAAAAAACTATTAGGCAAAGAGAAAAATGTAAAAATGTTTATTCCATAACACAGTTCATAACAGGGGAGGGAGCTATTTCTATTCAGAAATCCCTGCCTTTTTTCCACCCTATGTATTTTGGTTCCTGAACATAGGAAGCAAAGACAAATTTCAGATGATAAATTAAGAAGTTGGTTTTTTGGTGTTTGTTTTTCTTTTTTGGTTTATTTGGTTTTTTGGTTGGGTTTTGTTTGTTTGTTTTTGTTGTTGTTTTGGTTTTTTCTTTCAATATGAAAAAGGCAATTTAAAATACAGCTAGATATTTGTAAACTTAGGAAATGCCAGCTCTTACTTGGTATAAGTGATCATAGGTTCATTCATTTTGATTTCAGCATGACTATTTACACTAGAGGAGGATCTATACCACTTATTTTTCAGTAGGTGTTAAAGTACAGGACTTCACTCACTCTAGTACCAGTTTTAATGATCAATAGTACACTTGGGCAACATTAAACCACTGCTTTTAGACTTTTCACACTACTACAATCAATGTTAAAAGACATTGAAAAATAGTTTCTGGCCATTTCTCTCTTGGTTTGATACTAATGTACAATGAAATGTGGATTAAAGAAACACTGGGGAAGGTTTGTCATGTCCAAGTGTAAATCACATCTATTTTACCATAGACAAACATGTTTTTTACATCTGCAGTGTCATATATTTATGCTCAGAAAATCAACATATCCTGCACTGCAGAAACAAGGATCTTAGGTGAGAAGCTGAATATAAAGTGTGAGCAAAGTGCTGCAAGAAAGAGCAAGGGCAGGAAGAGGAACCAGCAGGCAAGAGGTGGCATCTGCCCATGGAACACTGGGGAGACCATTATTGCAATGACCTGTTTAATTCTGCAGCCTGATTTCCAAACTGATGATGAAAATAGGAAATATTCAGTAAATGGAAAGTAGGATGCCCAGAAAAGATGTTTTATAGAGAGTGAATTATGAAACTGGATGTATATGGTTTCTCTGAGTAGGGTTTAGGAGAGTTGACTTTCTTGAAGTCAAGGAAGCAGTGATGTGAAAAATCATGTAATAATAAGTTATTAAACCCAGTAGCTCTTCTGATCCTTACACAGACTGTGACAGCATCACTGACAGCACTGGAGCCTTGCTATTATGTGAGTCATAGTAAGTTCATAATGGGGGGTTTCTGTGCTGGTACTTTATCCCCAGGTAAATTCAATCTGTGCTCTGATTTGCCTGCAAAAGACATCCAAAATCAGCCCCAAATTCAGTCAGGGATACATGTACAAGTTATAAATACCTGGAAATAAACAGACTAAGGCTGGTTAAAATAAAGAATTAGCTCAAAAAATTAAAGGGAAAACAATACATAATCCATGGCCTGTAAAATGTCCTGACATCCTTGAAAACCAAGATTCTGTATTTCTACACACTTGTATTATGAACTTAAAAGCATGAATATGTTTCATTCCTTGCCAGGTTTGTTCTTCTACTTGGAAAACATTTATTCTGCTTCTTGTTTACCCTGAATTTAGAATTAATGTGACTGTTCTGGTTGAGCAAAAGCAACCTTGACTTGTATTAGGCAACATTTTATTATGCCAAGGTATCTTGTGTAAAAACACAACGTGAACACAGTTCTCAGAATTAGGCTAGTTAATAATTACCATATAAACAGGTCAAGGATCAAAAGAGACAGTAAATTCTTGCAAAGTGTGTGTATTTCCAAATTACAATACTGAAAGCCAGAGCTGTCTTAATGTGCATGGAATAAATCTAACACCCAGAGGTGAAATATCACGTCCTCAGTGAACCTTTTCCACAGAATAATAATCAAAATAATAATGCCAGCAGTTCATTTGTGTAAAATAATGCACTGTTGGCATTAGTGAAGTATTTCTTAGGTACAATAATATTTACTGAAAGCTTACATAAACTCAAGCCACATTTTCTTTAATACTGTAGAAATCAACAGAAACCCCAGCTGAGAGACTCCAGTCCAGTTTCCTGATGAGTTTCTCAACCTAAAAACCATTTCCCTGGCCCAGCTGTCCTCCCAGACCTGCTCCTACACTGCTCTCACCAGCTTCCCCCAGGACCTGCTGTGGGGTCCCTCAGCTCTTTTCAGCAAGACACCACTCAAAATGAACGTCTACCTGTAATTTTACATCTTAAATACACATACCTTCAATAAAACCTCCTGAGGGGGTGTGCTGGTGCTGAACAGGACTGGTTAGAAGGGCATGTGATGTGTGGGCAGAAGCTGAGCAGAGAAACTGCTCCAGATGTAATGGGGGAAAGACCTCCCTGCTGGAATCAGGGTGTGTGAGGGGTCCAGGAATAACAGGTACCAATAAAGGCCTGGAAGCAGAGATTTAAAGCTGGAAAACCAGCTGGTGGCACCTGGGAGACTCACCCGAGTGGTAGCACTCCCCTCCTTCCAAAGGCTCATGGTCTGTGTCAGCCACACCACCTGTTACCACCCCATTTTATGATGTGACCATTACCAGCTGTTACCAGTTAATTATTACCATCAACTTTGCACACTAATCCCAGCCTGGCTGTGCTACCTATTCGTGTTTACCACTGAAAGAATCACAAAATCATAGAAACATCAGAGTGGTTTGGGTTGGAAGGGACCTTAAAGCTCATCTCATTCCACCCCCTGCCATGGGCAGGGACACCTTCCACTAGCCCAGGTTTCTCCAAGCCTGGCCTTGGACACTGCCTGAGTGGCTCCACTCTCTGTGCAGCTTAGGACATGGTCACCTCTGGTCCTTTTCAAATGTTTGATGTTTCATTACATGGAATCAAGAGCATAATAACGCCAGACTTAAGCCGGGGATGATCATGGAAGCAGCTGGAGTCAGGCAAATGGTATTTCCAACTGAACTTCCCTGCCTTGTTTTAGTTGGCTAAAACTCAGGGCATAAATGGCTCAGGCTCAAGGTTTTGTAAAGCAGATGGCAAATACATGTAGGACTAGAACACAGTCAAGTGACAATGTGAGAGTGACAACACTGCAGATTTCCTGAGGACTCAACTGTGGAGTTTCTTCAACCTGAATTATTTTTCAGACATTTTCTTTCTGCAGCAAAATTTGGGGGTTTTATACTCAATTAAAATATTCACAGAAAATGCTACTATAAAACCACAAACCCAACCAACTAGTCAACCAAAAAACCCATAACAAAACAGTTTTATTTTTCTTCAAAAAGCTGGAAGTGGAAAAGAAAATAGTTCAGTGACCTAGTAGGTACCTAAACAGAATACAGTCCTTTCTCACTGATGTCCCACCACTCATTCAGCCAAGCAATACCATGAAAATTGAATAACTGAGCTGGATGTCTCCCTCTTTGTTATATTAGATTTTAATGCTTCTTTATTTCCAATAAAAGCAATGTGGAATCTAAATTCCACTCAAATGACAAATCCATCCTGTGAATTAAAACTGCAAACAGTTACAGAAAACAATTAAATCTGCGTGTGCTCCTTTTGGAGCTTGGAAAGGATTGAAGAACTGAAAAACCAATAAAAGAACTCCAGTCCTCTCAGTCACTACAAAAACATGCAATACCCAGGAAAGGTCTCAGCAAAGTGGGAACAGCACAGATGAGTAAACACAGCTGAGCAGAAATGTGTGTGGTTCATTCAGTTGTTTGCCAAGGCGCCCTTACTTCAGTACATTATTTACAGATAAAAAATAGCCCATCTTTGGAGTCATGTGGTGTTCCTGGCTCCTCAACCTCCCGCTTATCTCAGGGTTAACCAGCAACTGGGGGTATAAATAGTTTGGCTACTTCGGTGGCCGGCTCTTGGCCCTTTTACTCAAAGGAAGAAGCAGCCAGAGCGGGGAGGAAAAAAAAAAAATCAGCTTGCAAGGTTGGTCTTTTCTGCTTCCTTTTCCAAGACAGGAGTGCTGAAAGCAGGGAGAGGTGGAAGCGCTGATGGGATCAGACAGGCAGGTTGGAGTGAACAAACAAAAGAGCTGCTGCTTTCCCCCCTCATTTTGGTGCTAATTCGATGCCACCTCCGCGGGTCTGACATTTTGGAGGGCAGAGGGTTCGAGCAGCGCCAGCCGGGGCTGTGACAGCTCCGGGTGCTCCCGTGTCCTTTACCCTGAACTCTGAACTGGCCCCTCGGAGCCTGCTGGTCCCACAGACTTCGCCTCTGTCCCCGGCCCAGAACAGCTGGAGGGTGTTCAGAGCTCCAGCCAGGCATGAGGATCGGGAAAATGAACTGAGCTGCCCCCAGAGCCCGGGGCAGGCTGCTAGCCATGCCTCGCCCTGGGCTTTGAGCTGCTCACACAGCGTGGACTAAAGGTGTTAAGCAGGAAAGAAGGGGAGAGGGGGGGTGTCCTCTATTTTGGGAACTCCAAACTGGAATGAACTGGTTGCTGATGGCTAAAAATATCATGTTGTCTGTCCTTTCTACGCTCTTTATTGTCGAAAATGCAAAATGTAGAAAGGGATCCTAAATCCTGGAAAGGAATGGAAGGACCCTAAAGATCATTGTTTCCGACCCCTCACCATGGGCAGGGATGACACCCAGCAGATCAGGTTGCTCAGGGCCCCATAGGCTCTAGAGAACTGGATAACCACTTAAATACATTACAATACTTTACTATTGTGTTCCACTACTGAAAAATCTCTTCTTAGACCACAAAAGGGACATATGGACACCTCTGTGTCGCACTGGGGGACACTGAGAGACTCTACAATATGTACAGACATATGGAAAGGCCAGGGGATGGTTTTCACCCATGTGGGGTCACCCCTGTGCAAAGGGGACTGGTGTAGGAATGATCAGAGCTTCAGAGGAGCAAAACACATCATCTAAATCTAAACATTTAAAAAAAAAAATCAGTGTCAGCCTTAAAATTGCACAAGAATATTGGAGGGAGGATTAGCATTAGGTGGTGTAAACTGAACGAGGTAAAATGAGGCATCAGCGTGGAAGGCAACTGCATGAATTCTTTTCTCTTTAAAGTGTTAGCAGGACACCAAGGTGGAATTAAAATGTTTTAAATGTCAGCTGCCTGCGTGCCCCAGATCCCACTGGGAGCTTTCCAATCATCAAAAATCCAGCCGTAATAAATGCAGTTTGCAGCTCTTTCTCTCCGGCTGATCACGCTGGCAGGTGTCTGGTTATAATCAGAACCGAGGGAGCACACGCTCCTGAGCTCGTTTCCAGCTCCTCCACCGGCACAGAAGGGGTGGAAGAAAGGTGGATGCTTCAAACGTGGCTTTCTTCGTGCTGCTGTCATTGCCACGAGGTCAGCAAAGCCCGGACTCTGAGACCTACCAGCACTTCACGGTGCCTTTCCAAAGTGCTCTTTGCTTGTGCTGGGAATGTCTGAGCTTTCAGGGCTGGGGAAGCTCCTCAGAGGTTGTTTGCAGCTATCCTTAGTCACAGCTCAGCCGGGCACTGCCGATATCCCGGAGCTTCCACAGTTAAAAATTCCAGTTATAATGTAACATGATTGCTCAGTGCTCAGAGACAAGCTCTGAGTGATTATCCCTTCTTCTCCAGCTTCCCCGGGAGTTGTGCTCAGCTTTTCCCTTCTCCCTTCCCTTTTGTCTCCCAGCTGGCCCCAAGGGCTCCTGCAGCAGCCAGGCATGGGCTGTGGCACAATGAAGTTAATTATTAGCTGACACAGCCCTGGGGTGGATGGTGCTGGTAACTTCTGATTTACACGTGTGACGCTGCAGTGGTGGTCAATTAAACCTTTGCATTCTCCCTCCTGGGACTGATCTCATTTTATAGATTTGCCAGCATTTGTGCTCAGGTTTTTGGAGCCTGGGGAGGCCAGGCTGGTCTGTCAGGATCTCAGAGCTCCTCACCTTCTCAACCTTGGCATAAACATCTCCGCATTTTTCCATAGCCAGCACAGTGAGCAACAGCAGTAAATCACTGCATTTCTAAGAACCCTTAAAAATAAATTTCCCAGGCTTTCCCAGCTCTAAAACCCTCAGAAAGGCTTTTCTTCCCTTTCCCCACCTGGTTTTCTCTGGCAGGAGGAGTACGACTGTTACGCAGCAATTTTCTTTCCATGTTTCTAAAGTGGCTGATTTTAATTCGGATGTATTTTCCCCTGAAAATCCTTCCAGTCAATATGGAATTACATAAAGCAGCTTTCTGGAGGGAAAATACAGCTGGAGAAGTTTCCACTGAGAGGTGTGTGTGTGTGTTGGGGCGTGTGGGTGCGTGGTCTGCACAGGGAAAAGAGTTGCCTCCTGCCTGGAACCCTATCAGTTCACTCGGTACCTGGGAGAGGGGAATATTGGTGCAAAGCTGCAGAAAAAAGAAGGAATTTGAGAGAAATGTGGAAAAGGAGAGTCTGGATACCCAGTTCCTTCTGTCTCAGGGCCATGCAAAAGGCTGCTTAGCAGACCATTTAGTGATGGGAGAAATTCGGTCTCAGAATCCACTCCAGGACATCCCAGCCCTGCTTTGCTCCACCTGCCCTGCTTTTATTTCTTTTGCTTCTTTATCCCTGTTCCCAGAGGTTCTCTGGTTCAAGAAATGGTCTGCTCTCATTTCTCTCCCCCGAAAACAAAGCTGCAAAGTAGATGGGGTGGATGAGGCCAGAGGGTAAAACAGCTCCTGTTGTCCTGTACACCACATGAGGAAGGTACAAGGACTGGCTCTGGACAGTCCAGTGGACCTTGATTTCTGTGCAGAACAAGTATTTTTCAAAAAGCACTTATTTTTTTAAGTCTTGGAATTATCACTTTTGAAGGTCAGCACTTGGATGATGGGGGGGAAAGTAAATTTTTTGTTACCCCCAAAAACCCTGATGGACTGAAACAGATTGACTTGGCTTAGAAACACAGTGCAGCTAATACAGATGTTTCCTTCTTATAAATCTTAAAGAACCATCCAGGAAGAGAGAATATAAGAAGAAATTATAAAATTCACAATAAAATTTTATTATACATTTATCTGGAAAGGGGACCAGTGACTGAGATTGCCAAAGGTTTTACATTAGGAGCAAAGTGGCTAAGAAACTATAAGATTATGCTTAATCAAGAAATGAGTGAAATAATACATGATGATTTTTTTTATAACAGCAGAGATCTGGACATGACACAGTAAGTGTTAAGAAACTGTGCTGTGAAAAATTGTGCTCTGATTTTTGTTAACAACATGTTCACATGTTGTTTATTTAACAAAATAAACAAGTAAACTCTGCTTTACCGTAATCTTACTATCTAAGAACAAGAGAAAGGAAAAGGAGGCGCTGAAAAATCCATATCTTAAAAATATTGTGAGCTCAATTTAAAAAATATTATAGATATTCTTACCAATACCAATAAAATCAGGGATACTTCCTGAATTCCTTTTGAGGGGGAAATCCACTGTTGATATCCATCAGAAGAGGGACCATCAAGATTTCCCAACTTGCTAATCTTGAGTAGGGGGTGAATGCTTTGCATGTGCTGCACAAAACCTGAAATAAACCACAGTTACTGCCTTCACCTCTACATTATTCTCAAAAGGGCAAAAGTTACAGTGTAAGCTGGGAAAGCTCCCAAACCCAATTTTAGAAAAAATGGGATATTATTGGTCATTATTCATAAAGCAAATGAAAATATTCCATAGTCCCACTTATCCATCCGGGTGGGCACAACAATTTCTGAGCTCGTTGCTCCATCACCTGACAATGGAAATTAAATGTTCAGCTTTGTTTTCTGCCAAATCCCCCTGCCATGGCACCCGTGGACAGAACAACTTTTGGGCTGAACTGACTGTAAACCAATTTCTGTTCTGCTCCTTCTGAGTGTTTGCCAAGTTTTCTGTGTCGTGACTGAACCCGAATTCAAAATCAAAAAGATTTACAATAACAACAAACTTTTTAATTGGGCTTTATCGTTTCTTTGCCAGCAGTCACTTGAAATACATTAACCATTTTTGGCTGCTTTTGAAGAATAACCAGACATTTTCACTGCATTGTTTAGATTTTTTTTTTTTTTTCAAGAGTTAAACAACCATCTCTGAATCCATTATTGTCTGTATTGGTAGATTCATGAATCTTCATCTGGATGAAACTTTCTTTACTATTTTTTCCAGGTGGCTGCATTTACTGGAAAATGAGCTGTGTGTATGTACATATATATATATTCACTATTTATATATATATATTTTTACTGTTACAAGCTGTATAAATACATATGTATTTATTTCCATGCTGACCATCTGCATACATGCATGTTATCACTTAAACCTTTAAGGTGTTACTTTGTATTTAAATAATCTTTTTGATGTTTCATGCCATTCATTCAGCTATAACAGCAATGTGTTCCACAGCAGCAGCTTGGTTTCCAACTTTTTTTTTTTTTTTTTTAATATATACAAGGGAAAAATATGTTTTATCTGCCTTGCAGAGCTTCAGACTCGTGGAATGTTGAAAAGAAAAATTGTCTTTGTTCTGATTTATGAGCAATCAGCAGTAATACAGATCCCCCTCCTTGGGATGTTTCTGCTGAAGTGGAACCACAAGGAGATTGAGCTTCCTCCCTGTGTGCCCTGATACTCTGGTGGGTGCCATTCCAATCTGAGCTGAAGCACAAGTATTTATTGCAAGAGAGGAGTGTAGAATATTTGCTGAGTAAGCCAGGACTTTTTGCATTATGCCAGGGATTTAAAGGGACAAAAAAAATAAAAATCAGTCCCAGCAGCAAGTCTCAGGGCACTCCATATTAACCTCTCTGTATGGCAAGAATTAGATCTTTTTTCTTCTGCTTTCTCTATCTCATGAATAGTTTTTAATCCATGGCAGAAATTTACCTTTTACCCTGTAGTTTTCAAATTTCTATAATAGGCTTTGCTGATGGATTGGGTCGTAAGCCTTCTGAAACTACCCCTGAATGATCTCCTTT